TGTGCTAATCTCTACCGTAGAGCCCCCCTGCTGCAGCGTAAGCCCATTGCTGCTTGCCCTACCTTCGGTGGGCATGGCGAACAGTCAATCCTCATCACTCTATAACAGCCCTAAAGGGCAGCATCCAGAGCTGGGCCCAGCCCTCCAGCTGAGCCCTCCCCAGGGACAATTACGGGCAGTCCTCGGGCTTACGGCACAATTGGTTCCTTACAATTGCATCGTAAGTCATGGATTCACCAAGGGCAAGTCATGCCTGACCAACCTGATTGCCTTCTATGATGAGATAACTGGCTCTGTGGATATGGGGAAAGAGGTGGACATGATATATCTTGACTTTAGCAAAGCTTTTGATACGGTCTCCCACAGTGTTCTTGCCAGCAAGTTAAAGAAGTATGGGCTGGATGAATGGACTATAAGGTGGCTAGAAAGCTGGCTAGATTGTCGGGCTCAACGGGTAGTGATCAATGGCTCGATGTCTAGTTGGCAGCCGGTATCAAGTGGAGTGTCCCAGGGGTCGGTCCTGCGGCCGGTTTTGTTCAACATCTTTATCTATGATGTGGATGACGGGATGGATTGCACCCTCAGCAAGTTCACGGATGACACTAAGCGTGGGGGGAGAGGTAGATACGCTGGAGGTTAGGGATAGGGTCCAGAGTGACCTAGACAAATTGGAGGATTGGGCCAAAAGAAATCTGATGAAGTTCAACGAGGACAAGTGCAGAGTCCTGCACTTAGGACGGAAGAATCCCATGCACTGCTACAGGCTGGGGACCGACTGGCTAAGCAGCAGTTCTGCAGAAAAGGCCCTGGGGATTACAGTGGACGAGAAGCTGGATATCAGTCAGCAGTGTGCCCTTGTTGCCAAGCAGGCCAACAGCATATTGGGCTGTATTACTAGGAGCATTGCCAGCCGATCGAGGGAAGTGATTATTCCCCTCTATTCGGCACTGGTGAGGCCACACCTGGAGTATTGCTTCCAGTTTTGGTCCCCCCGCTACAGAAGGGATGTGGACAAATTGGAGAGTCCAGAGGAGGGCAAAGAAAATGATTAGGTGGCTGGGGCACAGGATTTATGAGGAGAGGCCGAGGGAACTGGGGTTATTTAGTCTGCAGAAAAGAAGAGTGAGGGGGGATTTGATAGCAGCCTTCAACTACCTGAAGGGGGTTTCCAAAGAGGATGGAGCTCGGCTGTTCTCAGTGGTGGCAGATGACAGAACAAGGAGCAATGGTCTCAAGTTGCAGTGGGGAGGTTTAGGTTGGATATTAGAAAAACTTTTTCACTAGGAGGGTGGTGAAACACTGGAATGGGTTACCCAGGGAGGTGGTGGAATCTCCTTCCTTAGAGGTTTTTAAGGCCCGGCTTGACAAAGCCCTGGCTGGGATGATTTACCTGCTGTTGGTCCTGCTTTGAGCAGGGGGTTGGACTAGATGGCCTCCTGAGGTCTCTTCCAACCCTGATATTCTATGATTCTATAAGTCGGAACGTCGGATTCCATTGCAGGACCGAGTGTCGTAACTCGAAACCTATCGTCATAAGTCGAATCAGGGTGTCACTGTAGAAGCGTCGTAAGTGCCATTCGTCATAACTTGAACGTCGTAAAGTCGAGGACTACCTGTACCTCCCGTGTCTTACCTGCACTCCTAGCAGCACACCCAGAGTGAGACTGGCCCTGTCTGCAGCTGCATCCCATTGTTAGCTCATATTTACGTTGTGATCCACTAGAAGCCGGATCCTGTCCAGCAGCTCTGCCACCCACCCAGCCAGGCCCCACTCTGTCCCTGGGCGTTGGAGTTTTCCTTCCTAAGGGAAGTGCTTGGCACTTGCCTGTATTGAATTTCATCTCGTTCATTTCAGACTGGTTCACCCCTTCCACCACCGCCGCCCCACAGGCCCGGGCAAGAGCGCCCCCTCCACTGCCCCTGCTCATCCCCTGCATCCCCCAGGGCCCGAACATTGCCTCCTCTCCCCCAGAGCAGAATTGCCCCCTCCATCACCACCCAGGGCAGGATCGCCCCCTCCATCCCCTGGGGCAGGATCGCCCCCTCCATCCCCCGGGGCAGAATCGCCCCCTCCATCCCCGGGGACAGGATTGCCCCCTCCATCCCAATCCCCAGGACGCTGCCCTCTCTGGTTGTCCGTTCCCCCAGCTCTAGCCCTTCCCTCCTCGGGGCTGGGGGGACAATGCCCCCGCTGGATCCATCTCATGCAGCCTCGATTTCCCCTGCCAACCTCTTCCCTCCAGTCCCCCCTTCCATGCCTCCCTCTCCCCCCATGGGGTTCACCCCCTTCATAGGCATGCCGCGTTTGCCGATCAAGACAGATTCCCCCATCTCAGCTGGGGTCTCCCCGGGGCCAAGTTGAGGGGCTGCACCCCCCTGCACGCTCCTTTCCAACACCTCCCCCGCTGCCCAGATCCCCAGAGCTGCCACGTTTGGGGTGCCTGTGCCAATTATGTAATGATCTAATTTACATATAACTGTAAAGGCGAGTGTCCGTGAAGGGCATCGCCTTGAGAGTGAACCCCTCTGTCTAGCCACAGGGCAGCAGCTGGGTGAGCTTCCCCCTCCCCCAGCCCTGCCAGCACCCCTGTTCTGGGGGGGATCGGGGGCAGTCCTCTGGGCATGACAGAGGCAGGTCACTCCCCATGGCCCCGGCAGCTCTCAGCTTCTCTGCAGAATTGTAATCATGTGATGTGGAACTGGAGCTGAGATCCCCCCCAAACTCATCTCACCCAGAGCTTCCCCCATTAGCAGCCTTCAGTCCCTGCGCAGCTGGGCTGGACCCGACCCACCCTGGGGCACTGCGGGCGAAAGGCTCTGTGGCTCATCAGCGCTGTCTTGTGGCAGCCAGGCCCGGGGCGCTAACAGGCCACCTTGGGGAAGGGGGCTGCTCTCTGCGGAAGTGCAGCTAGGAAATCCCGCGCTGCCCTTCGCAGGGCGCCTCACGGCGGCATCGCTGGGAGGCGGCAAAGGATCCTTGGGCACGCCCACCCCCCTGGCAAAGGGCTGGCTCCCGTTAGCCGAACGCCGCCAGCACCAACTAAACCAACACAGGGCAGCCTGCGTCCGCGATCGGGGCATCAGCAAGTCCAGGCCCCTCCCACGGGCTCCAAGGCATTTTGCTCCAGCCTGGGGCATCGTGCAGACTTGAACTCCTGACCCACAGCTAGACCACTTTGTTCTCAGCTCTAGAAGCGGCCAGCCAGCTGTCAGCCCTAGAATCATAGAATATCAGGGTTGGAAGGGACCTCAGGAGGTCATCTAGTCCAACCCCCTGCTCAAAGCAGGACCAATCCCCAACTAAATCAACTAAATCTTCCCAGCCTTCAGAGGGGCAGCCCAAAGAGGGAGGGCCAGCGTGCCCGTCACTCCCGATTTATCCACCTGTTTGTGCACTAACACTGCAGTGTTGGGTGGCAGGACTCCTGGGTTCTGTTCCTGGAACTGGGGGCAGAATATAGTCTAGCGGTTAGAGTGGGGCTGGCTGGGAGTCAGGACTCCTGGGTTCTTTGCCTGGCTCTGGGAGGGGATTGGGGTCTGGTGGTTACAGCAGGGGGCTGGGAGTCAGGACTCCTGGGTTCTTTGCCTGGCTCTGGGAGGGGATTGGGGTCTGGTGGTTACAGCAGGGGGCTGGGAGTCAGGACTCCTGGGTTCTACCTCTGGCTCTGGGAGGAGTGTGGGGTCTAGTGGTTAGAGACAGCACAGCCAAGTGTAATAATGCCTGTCTGGATTATCTGCAGGGGGTTGGACGTGGGCTCTCTGTACCTGAAAGCCTGAGCGTCTACCCCTCCAACTAGGACGATGCCGGTTAGCGCGGAGGCCGGCGCAGCCTCAGGAACCGTGTTAGCGGGGGTTACACCAGCACAGCTTTGCATGGTCTTTTCTGCGAGGCAAAACAGCGGAGACTTCGGCCTGTTGAATTCGGGGTCTGTTCCCAGCTCTGCCTGCTGCGACCCTGGCTATCCTCTCGCTTACCATGGCTGTGCGGGAGGGGTCGCTGCCTGCACTAAGGCCGGGTGGGGAGGTGGGGGTCGGGGGGTCCAGTTAATAAGGGTGAGGAAGTGCATAGAATATGAGGAGCTGGGATCAGAGACCCCACTGGCAGCTCAGTGCCCCTCCCCGGGCCGCAGGGCTCCCTTGTGTCCAGCCTGTGTCATGTTTTACCAGGCCCGTGCGACAGGCTGGGGGACAGCTTGGGCTCCTGGGCCCCACCTCTGAGCCAGCAGCTCCTCTCACTCTCGCATCAGCTGAGAGTCTGAGCTCCTCCCTCCACCCCCGCTTCCAGGGCATTGATGACCACGTTATGCTGTGGGTAGGGATCCCAGGGGGGCGTTTCTGTTGGGGGGAGCAGGAGGGGCCCAGATCCCAGGGCAGAGGCTCATCGGTCCCTCTGCTTGCCCCCCCCCCCCCAGATGATAACCTGTCAGGCACCAGCGGGATGGAGGTGGACGACCGCATCTCGTACCTGGAGCAGCGGCTGCAGCTGCAGGAAGACGAGATCCAGGTGCTGAAGGCGGCGCTGGCCGACGTGTTGCGGCGCTTGAATGCCTGTGAAGAGACCGGACTCAGCCTGCAGAGGAAGGGGCCCACAAAAGGTACCGGGCTCCAGAGTTCCTCCCTCCGGGCTGCTCAGCCCACACCCTGGGTGCTCTCTTCCTAGAGAGCTCCTCTCGCTTCCCTTGGATCCAGTCACCTGCTTCACCGAGCCTGTTCCAAGCAGGATCAGCACCCTCGTCCCCATTTGAAGCTATCCCTGATGTGGGGAACATCCGGCAGCCCCTGCACCGGCTCAGCTGCCCCACATGTTCGGCTCAGACTGAGAGTCCCAAGGGGGCTGGGTCAGGCCAGGCGAGCCGCCTGCCCACACAGCACTGCAGGCCCAGGGCCCACCCTGCCACCTATGCAGCGGCCCTCTTCCCCATCAGCAGCTCTGAAAGGAGCCGTCCTCGATGCCAGGGCAGAGCCAGGAGGGCTGGGTGGTTACCCCGGCGCCTGGAGGGAGGGGCCGAGCCCCATCTTGAGGAGTGAGGGGAAGGGCTGAGCCCCACGGAGCCCCCTGGGGCCTGGACAAAGGTGTGTGCCCTCCCTCACACCTCAGATCCACAGGCAGACCCGGAGGGCGGCTCTGACAGCCCCACAGCTGGTGGTAGCCCCCCCCCCCGCTCCCGAGGTCCCAGCCTGGACCCCTCCTGCTGTAGAAGGAGGAAGGGCTCCTTGTGCTGCCTTCGCTCCCCACACCCAGCACCCTGGGGCTGAGGCCATGCCGGGGGTGGGGGGAGCTGTCAGGTGAGCCCAGCCAAGTGTCTCCCATCACAGCCTGTGGGGCTGAGCCAGCAGGGAGGGGCCAGCCCCCCAGGGAGCCCGGGGCGGAAGCAGGGCCACCTCCTGGGGGTCCCTTCCCACCCCTCCGCCATTGGGAACAATGGAGGCTGCGGAAGGAGGTCCCCGGCAGTCGGGGGGCCGGCGGGGGCTGAGGCTCTGAGCAGTGACCCTCCACCCCCCACTCTGTCTCCCCACCCCCGCAGTGTGCCAGCTGCTCAAGGGGCTGCCCTCCAAGCCCACCCTCAGCAACGGGATCCTGCCGCAGAAGAGATCCGGGGGCTACTCCACCTCCCCGTCGTCCCCCAAGAGAGAGCCGGCCCACGGTGCTGCGAGGAGGTAGGCGCTGGGCCCAGCCCACCCTGTGCTGGAAGGTGGGGGGCTGAGACGCAGGATGGCTGCTGGGGCGGAGGTCACGCTCCCCTCCTGGACTGGGAGGCCCCTTGGGACACTGGGCAGCTGGGGAAGGGGGAGCTGTAGTACAGCCCCAGAGATGGGGGCTAGGGGCAGCAGTACAGCCTGGGGGGCAGGGCTAGGGGCTCGAGTATGGACCAGTGAGCAGTGCTACAGGGCTGTGGTACAACATGGGGCAGGGTTTAGGAGTTGCCGTGTGACCCAGTGGGCGGGGCTAGGGGGCTGCAGCGTGGCACAGTGGGCGGGGCTAGGGGCTGCAGCGTGGCGCAGTGGGCGGGGCTAGGGGCTGCAGCGTGGCGCAGTGGGCGGGGCTAAGGGCTGCAGCATGGCCCAGTGTGTGGGGCTAGGGGCTGCGCATGGCCCAGTGGGCGGGGCTTGGGGCTGCAGCATGGCCCAGTGGTCAGGGGTAGGGGGTTACAGCATGGCCCAGTGGGTGGGGCTGGGGGCTGCAGCGTGGCCCAGTAGGCGGGGCTGGGGGCTGCAGCATGGCCCAGTGGTCAGGGGTAGGGGTTACAGTGTGGCCAGTGGGCAGAGCTGGGGGCTGCAGCATGGCCCAGTGGTCAGGGGTAGGGGTT